TATTCAGCCCTGCGCTCTTTTGCTCCCGCGCAGCTTTCCACCTTGCCGAGGGATTTGCGAGGCGCAAAGTGGGTCAGCACAACGTACAGTCTGACCTGTATAATCTTTTCTGGCTCTAGCTGTCGTGTGTCACGTAGTACTACCTCGTTAAACAGGAGTCGAGTACACTTGCAACATACGTTTCACGTTCCACCAGCAGAGGAACATTCGGCCTTAATGTATCCAATACTTTGAATATCGCGCATGCTTTCTTCCTGTGCCCCCGCATTGCCGAGCTTGCGACACGCTTTTTAAAACGTCGGAATGCCGGAGGGATTGGAAATGGGATTATCGAACGAGAGAAAGTAGTTCGCATAATTTCTGGTTAATTTACCTATCGTGAACCCTTTCGCCGCGGCAAATTTTAATACGCAACGCGTGACAAATGGTAGTTTCGATTTGAAATTGAAAAATATAAATTTTCACACGATAAGTAGTGGTTACTGAGTTGATAAGTTCCTGTCTTTGTAGTACACGTGTACTACAGCAAATTCCTTCCTCTCGACTATTGTGTCTAAAAATTTACGATCGGGCAAAATTTAATACACAGACCCAGCAATTTCAGCTGTTCGCAAAAAAAAAGAAAAGAAAAAGAAACGTCGTTTCATTTGCACCAATCTAATACTACCCTCCTAAAACCCCCAGAAGTCCCCTAAAAGAAATCCTGTTTAATACTCTCTCTCTAATTCTCGGCCAGACCCAATCAGAAGCAGACAAAGCAGAGAGAGAGAGAGAACCCTGACCGTTCGAAAAGTTTTGCACACCGTTGTAGAGAAGATAATACGGTTCCTCGGGTTCTCGTCGTAAAACGCGACTCGCGCGCCCCCCTCACGAAGAAATGGTCTCTTGCGATCCGACCTGCGGCCTCCAGGACGGTCAATTTCGCTAAAATCCCTGGTCCCGTTATAAACGTTGGAGGTAGTATAACCTGCGTCACCATAACGACGAATTCTCACGTAAGTTATCGGCCTCTCTTCGCCGTTTGCCGGTGAAAGCGCAGAAAATACGCCTGGAATCCTGACTTTCCTTGGAAATTTCGCGTATCCTTCATCGTTCGTCTACGTTTCCGGGTTCTTCCTTTTTTCTCTCTCTTCTCTTACTGTCGCTCTTTTATTCTTTTTTATTTCTGTACGAACGAACGCACCGAGAGGAGAAAAGGGGAATCCCGAGGCGGAATATTATGTCGGAGCATTGAAATTATCGAGCGGGATATCGATTTTGCGTTCGTGGTGTAATTTTCGCCGAGTTGAAAAGACTCCGTGTGTCGCTGTAATGGCGCTTTACCGCGCCGAGATGGCGCTCTCTTCGCTTTCTCGAGGTTCGATTACGAAGCGCGATTCCCCGCGCGTTCAACTTTGAATTATTTACGCGTGTTTCGGCGTGTTGTTTGGGAACGTTGGTTTACTTTTGGCGGATATAGAAAATGGGTTAGCTTATACGTTTTATCAAATTGAATTATGTTAACTGACAGTTTGAGTCTTCTGATTTTTGAGGTTATTAACGAACTATTTTATTCAAATTGGAGTCTTTTAAAATTTATAGTGACACATTTCTAACGTATTACTTTTTTGGTGTAATAGCAAGATTGTTCTGTAATTAAAGCAATACTGCAGATACTTTCTGCCAATGGTTTCTTAATAGTTTCATTATAACCAAAAATATTTTTTAACTGACACATTTATCGAATACTTTATCTGTACTTTTTTTTTTGTTTTATCGTCTTTCACCGAAGCATTGAATTTTTAATATTGTCAGATAATTATGGCTATGTGTAAATGCAGGTAGATTGTGAATATACGATGCACCCCAAAGTTATTAGCGGAGAATTCGAAACGATCAGTGGTTCCCGGAAATTCTTGACCAATATTAAGTTCCTGCAAATTGACTCAAATTTCGTACATATAGTGGTAAACACGATACTTCGTCAAACAGAAATTTCTCGTGAAATTTAAGAAGCGTATTTAAATATTTGAAATATTTTTCAAGAAATAGTCTGTGTTTTACGCTTAAATTAAATCCTCGATGCTTAAACGCATCCTTATTGCAAGCTCCACTCATATCTGTTACGAACGAAACTATCATTTCGCGACATTGAAAAACAACGCAATTACAAGATAACACAACGACAAAATTCCAATCTGATCGAAGACTCGACACGTCGCAAAAACGCACATTTTTCCAAAATATGTCTCAAACCCTCGCGAAATTTTCATCCCCGAATGCAAAAGTAATTTGAACGTCGGTCATTTCCTAGCGAAAGTAAGAGTCGCGGTTCTTGTGAAAGATTCTCTCGTTTTCTTTGCGCTGTTTCTATTCAGCCCTGCGCTCTTTTGCTCCCGCGCAGCTTTCCACCTTGCCGAGGGATTTGCGAGGCGCAAAGTGGGTCAGCACAACGTACAGTCTGACCTGTATAATCTTTTCTGGCTCTAGCTGTCGTGTGTCACGTAGTACTACCTCGTTAAACAGGAGTCGAGTACACTTGCAACATACGTTTCACGTTCCACCAGCAGAGGAACATTCGGCCTTAATGTATCCAATACTTTGAATATCGCGCATGCTTTCTTCCTGTGCCCCCGCATTGCCGAGCTTGCGACACGCTTTTTAAAACGTCGGAATGCCGGAGGGATTGGAAATGGGATTATCGAACGAGAGAAAGTAGTTCGCATAATTTCTGGTTAATTTACCTATCGTGAACCCTTTCGCCGCGGCAAATTTTAATACGCAACGCGTGACAAATGGTAAATTTTTAACCACGGTTGTAAAATTTGTCGTTTTGGCTGTATTGTTCAGATGCCAAATTGGTTAACTCCATTTTTTTTCTTTCAATTTTTCAAATTTTAGCGTTAACGTACACGATTGGTGCTTAAGTTTTCACAAATGAAATTAATTTGGCGAATTTTCTTCGATGGAATTAATCACTTTGGCTTCTGATCGGCTCGAATGAAGGTAGAAACGTGTAGAAAGTCTTTAACAGTTGGCGCCAACAGCAGTGAAAGAGTTGATTATACTTATTCTTTGTAGATTTATTTATACTGGGCAGATCAATGACAGCGAATGACACGATGAATTGCGGAATAGTTTTTGGTAGACTTCGATTTACCTTAATTACAATTCCGTAACTCAACTCGCCAGTCTTCGTTGGTTTAATTACCGTAGCGAGTTAATAACGCGGGGGCGAAAGATACGGGACACGGTGTGGCATGCACACGTGGAAATTGTATTGCTGCACCCTGGGTGCGCGTGACTACCCTCTGCCCTCGCTGTGCGCGGTTCAGACAGCTACCGGGTGAGTTAAAAGTATCGTACTTCGTGTGCCTTTTGCCAGTCGCGAGACGCTGAAATTGTGGCGAATCGCGAAAAGTGGCGAATTCTCGAGATGAAGGGGTAAACGTCGGGAGAGACAGGGAGAAGCTTGCAGAATGGTAGGAAAGCGGAGAAAAATAGCGAAGAAAAGAAGGGAAATACTGAAACGTGAGAAAAGTGGAGTACGGGTTCAGAGGAAGGCCGATATTCAAAGAGATAAAGAGATAAACGTTGAGAAGCTTGGAGAATGTTGGAAAACCGTGGAAAAGTATCCAGCAGAACGAGAGAAATATTGAAACATGAGAAAACAGTAGCGAAAAGGAAAAAAATGCAGAAACAAGAGAACCACGGAGGAAACCTGGATGAAAGCAAAAGAAATCCAAAAAACGCGAATGAAATGAGAGAAGGAAGAAACGAGCGATAGAACGCGTTCAGAACGAGAAGGTATCGGAAAAATTTCGAGGCAGATAAACTAAGTGCGAACGAAACCTAAAAAAGGAAAAAAGAAAAAGTGGAAACTCGAATTTAATCAATAGGTCGTGGTAAATGATACCACCGAAGAGCAAGAGAACGCGAGAGAAGCAGCTAGCAGAGAGTACACGAGCACAAAGTACATCCAGGAGAGTGTGAAAGAGGGTAGTAGGGTGTGTGTCCTCGAAGGAACGCGACGAAAAACGGAATACAAGAAAGACTGCGCATACTTAAGGGAGAAACTCGTCAAAGGGGTTAAAACGAAGGAAAAGAAACACAAAGAAAGAAAAAAAAAAAAAGCAGAAAATTAGCCGTAAGAAGAAGCAAAGCACATCGAGGTGAAACGAACGAAGAAGGTGGTGTAAAAGAAGAGAGGGGGTGGCGAAAAGGGAATAGGATAAACGCAGGAAGGTCGACGGGCTATAGAGTGGTTCCCACAATCTTCTCTTCTTATCGAATTCGAGTCCCTCTCTTCGTCCATTGCCTCCTCCTCCTCCACCTCTCTCGTTCCCTACTCTTTCTTTTCTCCGTCGAATACGCACCTTCCACCCCTGTCTCCTCCGCCGCTGCCGGCGTTCACCGCCCCATCTCATCGTCAGGCCACCCCAAACCCGGAATAAATCAATACACATGTCTGCTACATGCTCGTATTCTCGGCTCGAGCCTTAAACCGAATTTTCGCGAGGTGAAAAGGGGTGGAGTGGGGTGGGACTGCGATTTAACGGATTTACGTGGGCGCTGGGTTTAATTAACCTCGTGGAAAATGGGATTGATGTCTCTGATACGTGGGGACTGTTCAATTGGAATACACGTTTCTGCTGGTACGCCATTGGTTGGACAATTAAATAAAAAATAAGCTCGATTTTCTGACTAACGAGGGAAGTTTGGCAACTCGACAATTTTGGAAGAATTTGGAACTTCGTGGAAATGTAGCTCAAGCGAGGCTAACTGTGAAACCACTTTTCGTTGCAGCAATGAAATTGTCCTAGGGGTGAAAACACCCACTCGAAGAAATTTCGAACGTTTGTAAAAGAGTGCAGGATATGGAGAGAAAGTTAAATTCGAAGGTGCGCGGTTTTCGATATTCCACATTGCGGCGGGGAAGAATTTTTGAAAAACATTTTCTTCCTTTTTTCGAAAATTCTTGGTCGATAAGGTGTTAGTTGAGAAAAATTCGAAAAACTCACCCAATTGACGACAAATATCGGCTTTCAGATGAGAAGGCAGAGTTTTTTCCTTAAGTAACGCCTCGTAGTGCTCCTTGGCCAGACGATATTTCCCTTGGACTTCGTATAAATGGGCTATGTGAAATTTGACTAGAAAACGCGAAAAGAAAACGTACATCTTCATATTTCTCTGTAAAACGTGAACCTATTATATAAATACAAATATTCCATGAAATTACACGGTTTGCATACGACAATGCTTGCTATTATTGAATTTCTGTTACACACCACAAACACGCGAGAAATGAATAAAAATTCATCCTAGTGTGTTATCGCGCGCGATTAAAGGTAGCGTTGGGGTTAAAGGAAAATCGTTAAGGTAGCATTAAATGCACCCTTAAATATCTTTCAACACGTGGTACGTGTTATCGCGGGTCACGCGTGACACCAGGAATCGCTGTATCACGTTAGAAAAGGGGGTCAAGTTCGAGGAGGTGTGCTAGCAAAAGGTCCGGGGTTAAGATGTTGTCAAGACATAGCGCGCAGGTACATATGTAATAGGTACTTTTCATGCGGCGGAAGTATCGACCACACCGTGACTCGCTAAATAATAGATTAAAACCACGTACGCTAAATCGAGGGGATTTGTTTTCCGTACTTCTTTCATAGGAAGCTCTGATTCACCTGGATTTATCATTATTTGTTTCTTTTTGGTATCGAATGAATTTCAGGCGTTTAATCAGTCTGTTACTTCAAATTCTCCATGTACGTTTCAATATGAGCTTCATTTCAGATAAATGAATACTACGAGGCTGCCTTTAACTCTTTGAGGCACGGAATTTTAGAAGATAAAAAAAACTATGTTGCACAGGAATTTTATTTTTATCAAATTTAACGAAGCTGGTTTATTTTAACTAGTAAGGAAGTAAAATTACAAAAGAAACAGAAATAAATAAAAAGTCATTTAAGTTTTTAATTACAGGGTGGGACTTAGACAGCCCCTCTGTGCCATACGGATCCATGAATGGTATTTGTTAAAGCACGTCTTTTTCCCAAGACACAGAGGTACTTTGTACTAACTGGTTTAAGTAGGCGGGACTTATTTTTTAACTTCTGTTCTAGTAGCACTTGTAATTTTTCGAGGTGGTATAAAAAATATCCCACCGTGCATATTTACGTGTCAAAAAGGTGGGTTATTCCGCCATGCCTCGAAGAGTTGAGCGCGATGTGACCACTATTTGCCCGCGCGGGCACCCAAGTGAGGCTATTTGCCCGCGAGGGCGCCCGCGGGCAGCACGCTGAGCACACTTGTGTTTAACGTTATTAGAATGGTTTTCAATGCCACGCGAATTAATATTCTATTTTAATTCAACTCTCGTATTATGTTTTTTGGTAATCTTTCCAAAACACGAAAAAATGTACGATTCTAACATCAGACATGAAAGTTTCGAGAAAAGTGGTTCGCAGAGGTAATTCGATAACCAAGAGGAAGGGGTTGGCCCTTAATTTTTAAGTTATCGCAAAGCTCGTCCTCCTTGATGAGGCGTTCACGGAAAGAGAGAGTTCAAAGTGAAAGTTCTCGTATATTTGAACAAAAATCCCTTTTATCAGGAGAGCGATACACTTAAGATTATAACGACTGAAATCTATACAGAATTACCATGGCCTCTAAAAAGAAAATTGTGCAACTGCCTTTCCTTTCTTCTCACATCGATAATTTCATCTAAATCCCTTTTAACAGATATTCCTTTTTCTATTTTGCTCGAAATATTTCTGTCCATTCGATTAAAATTTTGGCTCTTTTCCACGTTACACGCGGAGATTATCCGTGCGAAGAAATACCCGTTACACAGTAATAACTATTATTGTCGCACGGTTTGCAAATAAACACAAGGATTAACGGCGGCAGAAGGAAGAAGTTTAGTCGAGGCAAAATGACGGAGCAACATGTGGCCATGGGAGTGTAAGATTTCGGAAGTAAAAATGCACGGTTTACGGTCGACAGCTGTTCCCCTGCCGCGTGCATTATTTTGCCGAAGTTGAAACGCGTGTAGGTGATCGTAGAGCGAAAACCGAGACTCACTTTCGAGTTTGGAAAAGGAGGCAGGTGTCGTGGCATCGATCAAAGCGAGTGTCAGGTGCTTCAAGGCGGCGTCAAAGTCAGCGTGGACCTTCAGCATTAAGCCGAGCCGTAGGTGAACCTCGCAGGCCCGTGGAAATCCTGGTTCCACCCATAGCACCTGCTGGAATGCTTTCACGGCCCTGAAATTCATTAAAATTACGTTCTGGTTAGATTTTCACTCATTCGCGGTGTTCTCAAACAAAATATTCTCTTATTTCGGTTTCGTTTGATAAGATTTGACAAGTTCTCGAAATATTTACTGATAATTCTTGAATACTACAGTGACATTTAGTTTTATAGTAAAAGAAAAAATTATCTGTTAGAAAACAGAATAAAAAATTCAGTTAACAACTGTCAAATTGAACAAACATAATGTTTTAATATAACGCGAGGAAACGTTACGTTATTCCTGAAATTAGAAAAATTGATCAAAATGTAAACATGATTCAACCTATCGTCTCTGGCAATTATTCATATTTTTACATTACACCTAAGACATTACTTAACCCTTTCGCGACTAGCGCCGGTTATATCCGGCATCCACTAAATGCTTCACACTGGCTGGCGCCGGGTATATCCGACATCCACTAAGCGCGTCGCATTGGCTCGCGCCTCAGCAACTCAAAGTGAAGATTTATTTTAAAATACAGAACAAGGCCTCAACAACATTCCCTTTATCCAATACATCCTTAAATCCTCCGCTGTTCAAACGAAATCCTCTAAGATTTTACACGGATACGCTGGGAGCTCGAAAAACGCGAGACACTCATGGTGTGCACTAATGGCACGACGACCCGTCCGTTATCGGCGTACTGGTGCCTAGTTCCGCCGTCGCGAAAGGGTTAAAACACTTTATTCTTCGAATAACAGAAACAATGTTAAAGAGCATTTTACAAACTTAAAAATAACACCGCCTTTCATAATTTTTCACTGTCCATTCATTCAGATTACTTCGGCATAACGACAGAAAAAAGCGCAGTGAGTTATGGCGCTGATAAAATACCGGAAACACGATTTTCTTTCGCGCGTTCCGCAAGATGACGTTGTATTCGTGATTGCGAAGTATCAACCAAGAATCTGGACAATGCGTGCTAAATATTTATCGGCGTTCCTTCACGGAGACTGTACATTTTTTTGGGGTCGACGAACGATCGTCAATCCTCGAACAGTTGGCGCGATTCGATTTTCAGTCACGGCACACAGTCTTGGGTCTGCGACTGCGACTCTTTTCTCCAAGGTTCACGTGATCAACACCCGTCTCGTTTTCTTCAACCATTAATTAACCCTTTCGTTCCTGCACTGCGTTGTTGGCGCTTTTTGCCCCACTTTCATCTTAATTTTCGAAACGGCGAATTTAAAAATTTGAATTTAGAATTTATTTATAATTTTCGAGTGGTGAAAGTAACTTTCTCCGCTTTAAAAGCATGTCCTAGAAAACCCAGACTGTTGCGAGTAAAATGAAGGAAATGTCACGTCGGTGAAATGAATAGTTCTCGTGATAAGAATTAGCTTAGCATATCATCCGTCAAAACTGAAATTTTCATTCACAGTATCTCCTCGACTATTACGTTCTGCGATTATAAGACATATTCTGCCCACAATCACACTCCAAGATAACTGCTAAATGTTCGCCTGTGAGAAAACACTCTGTACACGCAATCTTCAAGAATAATTATTTTTATTTTGCAAAATATAAAAATTCTGGTTTATCCGTATTTTGTGTCAATTCGCGGAAAAATCGACAAATACTTTGCGAGTAATAATTTTCAATACATCAATTAAACAAATGGACTTTCTTCAAATTGGTCGTTGAAAGATACAAAATCCTCTATCTCCATATCGTTCTCGAGATATTAGACACGAAACGTGTTCACTACCCCATTTTTGTCGACAATTTTCACTATAGAAGAAATTCACTCCATAAAAAGAAATACAAATCAAATATTCTTTCGAGAACTACCAAATACCAAAGTTTCACAAAAATCCGAAATTATCACTCGGAAATGTTTCCTTGCTTGTTCCAAGCAAAAAACTTCACGCACGAGGAACAATCTCACCGGATCCACAATGGGGGTTGAAAAGAGAGAATCGCGTTCGTGAAAAATGTATGGTTGAAAAAGGAAAAAGGGCAGGTATAGACGTAATCACGTGCATCGCGCGCGTGCACGCGATACGCGCGGATGGACAGGAAACGGTCGGTGTTCTGGCTTGTCACGCGAACAATTGCGCGTCTGGGGAAGTAACTAAAACCATAGGGACAATCGGTGGACGGCCTACGATAATGATTGTGTAGTTGGAAATGATACGGTGCGTGTGCTCGACCAGCCGAAACACACACACACACAGGGAGCTGCTAGATGAAACCGACCTAATTCAATGCCGCGGAAGAAAGCCGGAAATCGATGCTTCCTGGTGACGATTGTGTGCATCGACGGGCACGCGAAGACATCTTCCTCCAAGTGCAATACTGATCTATCCGGAAGAATTTTCGATTTCAACGGAGACATTCAGATTTGAAAGGTAATTGTGCATTTTTTTGTTTCGAGGCAGGGAGTTGTATGAAACAGGGTAATTCCGGGAGAGACGGACCAGGCAAGTATTTCCTACATTATCCGCCATATGTTTTACTCTCAGTGTTTTTTGTTCCATATTGTTAGCACAGCTTCAAGAAACAGACACAGTGTAGGTTATTAACCAAAATGTATTATTTAATGAATATAAGCGGTGACTAAGGTACTCGGGTGTCCGTCTCGGACACAGTGTAGGCTATTAACCAAAATGTATTATTTAATGAATATAAGCGGTGACTAAGGTACTCGGGTGTCCGTCTCGCTCGACGGCTAAAATGAGAGTGTCCTCTCCGCGTCCTATCCTGCGTTGCTCCGAAAAACCGTTGGAGCCCCCTCGTTCGACTTTCCGGGGAAAGGGCTTAGTTTATGGCACCCTCAGGTACCCGGCGCGCTTTCTCTTCCAGTGACCCTGGGTGACAAAGTCCAGGCCATCACTTCGCCGCCGAAATCTCGCATTCCTTACAATATCTGGCGGATAATGTAGGAAATACTTGCCTGGTCCGTCTCTCCCGAAATTACCCTATATGTTAACACTTTCAGCACGGACAATGTATTGGCTCTAGTACGATTTTTGGGTCTTTTCTGACCCATCGTCTTTTCATTTGTTTAATAACTTCTGCTCTTGTTAAATTATATTAAATGAAAATTGTTGAATTATTGTATTTAATGTATTATATTAGAAGTTCATTGTCTAGGTTCGTGCTGATAACGCAAATTGTTACAGATAAGGTCCTCTTTTTCCACCCAATTATACATAGAGTTCAGATATCTCCTTTGAAAAATAGTACAATTAACCCTTCCGCTCGGCAGATTTAAGTACGTGACGCACGTGGCAGATTCAAATGTTCCACTTTTCTTTCGGCCGTGTCGTTTCGAAATTTGTTTTATTAAAATTAAGGTGGAAGAGTGCTGAGGATGAAATTAAAGCTGAAAAAATATGAAATTAATTAATATGGAAGTGCGCCAAGAGACTCGAATAGCACAGTGCGAAGAAATTTTCAAAGCGCCTATAGGCGCCAATAGCAGTGAAAGGGTTAATGTGTTAAAATACATTTCTATTTAAATGTGTATCTAAAGGAAATCTAAATCCTATATTTCCAAGGATTAATTTTTAATCTGAATTTCTCCGAATTCCAAGACTGCCTGCGTATTTGTTTCAAACGTTCGTTTAATACTTCACGCTAGAAACGGATCGCAGTTTTACAGCTTTAACGAATCTTCTGGCGTGTGTAATAAGCAGAAATGTCCAACTGCTGGCGATGTCGGGTGTGATTTTATTTCAGCTTCCGGATCCGTTGGACGGAAGCCAGGATTAAATCAACGAGTACACGGATTGAGCTATGCTAGACTCGTTTGAAGTTCGCAGCTCGGCCTCGTGCGAGACGGAAGCTGCATAAATATTGGATGCGCCGAGCTGGTCGCATACTCTCAAACGGAACGTGTTACCAGCACCTTTCCGAACCACCGCGGAAAACCGATAGACGTAACAGGTTGTAGTAACGTTTCAGGACCTCGTACGAAACACTCGGTCGACTTTTCTTCGACGGTCATTGCTATCGATTGCAATTTGCAGTTTCGATTCTACCGAATGTCATTTTCGTTGGACTGCCTCCTTTCTTTTTAGGAATTGTTAGATTACCTTCTTAGGAATTAGTGTTCAAAATGACACATTGACAACTTTCCGAAAGTAAGTTTTTATGTTACTAAACTGTGTTTAAAAAGTTGTGTGAAGTTCTCTGGTAAAAAGGGTAAAAACGACTTTTCAAGATAAACGCATTTAACACTAGAACTACCTACCGGGTCAAAAAGTATTATCGTTTGTAACTTTCCGAATTTATTTTTTACATGTATGCTTCTATTTGAATCGAATTTTCCAATCACGGTTTACTTACATAAAAATTCACTTTTGGAAAGTCGCTAATGGGTCATTTTGACTCGGCTGGTAGTTCTAGTGTTAAAGTTATGCTTCCATCTACCTCTTCAAAAAACAATATTCTTCATTTTCTCGTCGTTTGAAGATGTTTCGCAATTTTTATTAGCGTAATAAGTAATTGTCTAGTTTCGTTATTAATGCGTGATTTTAATTGGGAATTCTCAAGTCTGGGGTTGGTCTCGTTTCAAAGAGCATACTTTAGCCCTCTAAGAAAACGACACAGTGAATAATGAAATTTCTCGGAAAATATAAATATTACCAAACGCAGTCTTCTTAAATTAGAACACCGAAAAACGAACGATTT